CCCTCCACGGTGACCCAGACAACATAGAAAAATATGCCATTTGATAATAAAAGAAAGGTTACCATTAAGCCTGGTGGATTGGAAAACTCCAAGAAAGCCAAGAGAACGATGGATATCACCCAATTCTTCTCCGCCAAACCGACTCCGGAAAAAAACACGTCTGGCGACGCGTCAAGAACCCCAAACCCCGCGACAGAAACACCCAAGCCTGCAAACTTGGAGAATGCTGAAACCACTACATCGACCCCTGTCCAAACAGGAGACTTCCAGGCACGGTATTCATTCGACAAAGACGCGTGGGTTGCCTCCTTGTCCGAAGAACAACGCCAGCTCCTCCAGTTGGAAATCCAGCACTTGGAAATCTCGTGGCTCACACTCTTGCACAAAGAACTCACCAAGCCCTATTTCATTAACCTAAAGAAATTTTTGCTCCAGCAGTCCAAGTTCAAGAAAGAGGTTTTCCCACCGGAGAATGAAATCTATTCCTGGTCCCACTTGACTCCGTTCCCAAAGTTACGGGTTTTGGTCATTGGTCAGGATCCGTACCACAACAATGGCCAGGCGCACGGATTGGCCTTCCTGGTCAAGCCCGGTACCAGACCTCCACCATCATTGCAGAACATTTACAAAGGAATGAAATTGAATTTCGAAAATTTTGAGATTCCCCTCTTCAATGAGCATAACGACGCGGGGTATTTGGTCAAATGGGCTTCCCAGGGGGTCCTTTTGTTAAACACCTGTCTTACCGTGGAAGCGCATAAGCCAAACAGCCACTCCAAACAGGGCTGGGAGCAGTTTACATCCAAAATCATTGAGATCATTGCGGGAGAGGCTGCGAACCCTGGCTGTGTGTGTTTGTTGTGGGGAGGACCTGCACAAAGGACATTTGACGGGATTATCACCCCGAAAAACAGACAACTAGTGCAGAAAAAGCATTTGATTTTGAAGAGTTGCCATCCTAGCCCGTTGAGTGCCAACCGAGGGGGGTGGTTTGAAAATAGACACTTCAGGGAGTGCAACGATTGGTTGATAAAGAAGTATGGCAAGGGGATTGACTGGGCCATTATCAAAAGTAACTCCGTGCTATAAGGTAGTGTGCCTCCTTAGTTCTTTTAGTGTCCCTTGATTTTTTTATTATATATAGCGTGTTATATTGCCGAGTTTCTAAAACCATTTATATTTTGAGCCATTATGATCAACGCTTGCAATCTCCATGCAATATGGTAGTGCCCCGCCCAATATAACGCGACGAAGCTTATTATCTTTTCTCTTTTTCTGGCATCGCGCATCGGATCCAACGCGAAGCCGTTTGTTTGGGATTCTACTTTTACTACCGTTGAGTCCCCAGAAGCCTTTTGTCCACCTTCCACAGGTACTGAAACCATACAGCCAAACTTGGTATTGCTAGATCATAGCTCATTACATATCGATCTTGGTGCTATCATACCATGACGACGGAAAACGACCCACTCATGGCGGCTGCCCTCTTGCCTATTGATCGGACGATACAACCTAGCACAGATCCTGACCTTATGGTTGAAGTCCCACTATCAACTCCCAAATCCCTTTGGCGCGCTCCACCGGACCAAAACCCTTTGAAGGTCGAAAAAACGTGTACCGCTGGGCCTAACATAGCGTCTGAGATACGCATAGATCAGAAACAAGAGCGTTCTCAGCCTTTTGCTAGTGCTTCTGAAAATGGCTCCGGAACTCCGGCGTCAAGTACAGAAAATTCGATTGCCAATACGGCTTCCAGTGTCACCACCGAACAGATAGCTACTTCTTCTAGCAAGCTATTTGATGCCGATAGTTTACCAGAGGTAGCCAAAGGCAACCCGCCACCTCTGGTGGTGTCCATAGGAGCATTTATTGAGGGTCCCAAGGAGCTGAGTAATCTTAAGCTGAAAGAGCTTCCCGCTTTTCCTTCTGAATTACCGGATAGATCCTCTTTCATGGGTTCGGTGAGTTCTACGGAGAGTTCTGCTTCTGAGATAAAGGGTATGCCAGTCCCGGAGGTGAGCGTTCAGCTAACCCACGAAACCACAAAGGAAGGTGTTACCACGACTAAAGGCCAGCCAGCTGTTACTTCTACTCCTCAGCGGAAAAGAAAGGGTGGTAGCATGGAAAAGTTGCTAGCGGATGCTGCTTGGTACGCTAATACTTTCGGTAAACCTGCGCCTGAAAGACGGACACAGCGGTCTGTCTCCAAGATTACAGAGGAGGATGCGGAAGCGTATGCTAGGATCCACGAAGAAACTGTCAAGGCCAGAAAGCTTGAGGCGTTTAGAAACCCCAAACCCAAGGCGCTTCTGGTTCCCAAGCCGGCAAAGGTAAAGGTTCCTAGCGTGCCAAAACCACAGAAGCTTGATGCCGACGGAAACCCCATCAAGGTTATTAAGGGACCATCTGTTGTAAGCAAGAAGCTCCTTGCCGATGCTGAGTGGTACATGGGATACGAAACTGTCACTTCGCTCACCCGTGATCGGTCCAAGATCAAGGTACCTGATAGGTACGTGCCTGAGCTTGTGGAACATAAAAAGCCTACCCAGCCACATAGGGCCAAGGCTGGACCAGCCGGTTTGCTACCGCCGACTCCTGTGGATAGTGATGGAGCTTCGACGCCAAAACTTAAAGCGAAGAAAAGCGCGATGAGAAAGGTCGAAGAGTCTGACAAGCTTTCTCCGGGGACACCCGAGTCTGACGCCTTGCCCCCAAAGAAGCGGAGAAAGCAATCCGAGACCGAAACACCTTCACCTCCCCCTGTTGAATCGTACATGCGGGTGACCCTGGAAAACGACATATTTTTCCCGTTGGAGCCGGGTAGAGAGTTATTCACAGAGGTGGTTAGAAAAGCGGAATCGCTCCCAGTGTGTCTGGATGACTTGCAGTACACCACTGCGGTGGAGGTTTCCAAAACACTCGAGGGCAGGTACAGAAAGTTCGAGTTTATCCCGGAAGATAAACAGGACGAGGTTATCGGGTTGGAGAACGCCTTTTTTAGCGCACCGGTGGAGAAATACCTCTTACGGATCGCGAAGGGTGACGCTGTTGATCTTATTGAAGACATGAAAGACGTCATGCTTATGACCAGTGTGGTGAATTTGCCCCAGCTGCTCGCAGTAAAGGTTTCGAGCGAAATTGTTCCGAAATTCACCAGTAGCATTAGCTCAGGGGATTATACTGGCTTGGTGGATGCGATCGAACAGTACAATGCGTTGATTAGAGACAACCGGGCTAGCATTTTGGCGTACGTTAAGTCGAGCCAGCATACTTTATCGACCTACTTCTGCCACCAGTTTCTCCAGCAACTCTACACGCGAATTGTGACACCCCAATGCGTCAAATTGAAGCGATACAAACCATTCTCCAACTTTGTCTATGGTGAGTTGTTGCCCGGTTTTGTCAGTGATATCATGGGGTACATCCAGGAGCGAGGGGATGCGACCCGGATTGGGTCTCTTCAGGTGAACGCCGACGCACCGCACATTAGCGGTGCCTCTACCCGTCAGGGGACCCCCCTCGATGCCTCGACTGAAGGTCCCCGGATGCTTGAGCTTCCAATTAAGATCGAGGGGCCTGAAGCCCCACCAGTAGCCCCATTCACCCTTTCTAACAAGAACTTTATGGATTTGGGGTCAGGTGTGGGAAACACAGTTTTCCAGGCCGCCCTCGAGTTTGGCTTTAGGAACAGTTACGGCGTGGAGATTATGGAGCATCCTTCTGATATGGCCGACGCCCAGCTCCTCGAGTACCTGGAGAAGTGCAAATTGTACGGGTTGAAGGAGAATCACGTGGAGCTCTTCTCTAGACAGAGCTTTTTCGACAATCCAGTGGTGAAGGACAGAATCGACGCGTCTGATGTCTTGTTGTGCAACAACTACGCGTTTGACTATGACTTCAATAACCGTATCGTCGATATGTTTAAAGATTTGAAGCCTGGGACCACAATTATCACATTGAAGCCGTTGGTTCCCTATGCCTTTAAAATCACCGCCGACGAGCTTGACAAGGGCAGTATCTTGGGGAGATTGCATGTGCAAAAGATGGTATCCAAGCCAGGCGCCGTCAGTTGGACCAACACCCCAGTGTACTACTACGTGAACACGGTCCAAGAGGACTATGTGTTAGCCTATTACGATATGACAAATAACCAGACGTTAAAGTACCGTAGTAAACGTGCTGTCAGGGACAATGTGAAGCCCGCCATGTGGGTAGGCTAGGTTATCTGGTCACCCGAGTGAGTGAGTTTTTGATATTATGAATAAATACCCCCTTTCTAAATGCCTTTGTATAAGCTGGACTTTTCTGGAAGGTTTTGGCTCTCTTTACTGAGATGCCTTTTCAGACCTTATCGGTAACATCGCAACTCAAATAACTTTTATGCGGTGCCGATTGTTTAGATGAAATTACTAGATACCGATACCCACTAATATCACTGTACATGTATTGAGATACCTATTATATCGTCGATCCTTCTGGTGTCTAAGACTGCTATTTAAGACTCCCAAGCTGTATGCCTTGGTGAGCCGATTCCGGATCTCAGTAGCGCTTCAATGTAATTGAGAACTCCACTGCTAAGCACCAATGTTACGCAGCACCGCCAGCGGTCTAAGCTGAATATCTCTGATGTGTCTTTTCAACAGTGTTTACTGGGCAAACCACACTATGAAAAATTACAAAGCGAGCTTGTCGATCCTAAAAATAGCACATGAACGACCCCGCAACCAAAACGGGCAGTTCCCAATGCGGTAACTTTCTACTTAACACGTAGATCGAGAAACACGCGTCGCTCAGACAAACACACGACGACGCAAACCGATCTATATTTCAAGTCCAAAGCAGCAATCCACAACCTCTCATATCTCCCCAGTGACCACTTACAAGATGAAGTTCAGCCAATGCATCTCTTTTTATCTTACGCTCCTTGTGTCCTTCATATCTTCTGTCACGTGCTTGAAGTTTGAGATCGAAGCCAAGGAAGAGGGCTACAAGAACACTTGTATCCGTGACTTTGTCACTGAGGGGCAGATGGTTGTTGTCAACATCAACTCCAGCGGTAGCGTTGGTGACGGCCAGACCTTGAACTTTTTCATTGTCGACTCCTTGGGCAACCAGTACAAGGACAAGAAGGACTTTGCGGGCAAAACCAGGGTCGCATTCACCGCGCACTCCTCTGCCGCCTTTGACGTGTGTTTCAACAACGTCGTTGGCCACCACGGCCCCGACAACTTGTTCAGAGAGATTGAGTTGGATATCGAGAGTGGTAGTGCCGCTAGGGACTGGAACGCTATCCAGGCGGCAGAGAAGTTGAAGCCGGTCGAGTTGGAGTTGATGAGAATCGAGCAATTGACCAACGAGATCACCAGCGAGTTGAAGTACTTGCAAAAGAGAGAGGAGAGAATGAGAGACACCAACGAATCCACCAACGAAAGAGTCCAAAACTTCTCTACCATGGTCATTGTCGCCTTGGTTGGCTTGGGAGCCTGGAACGTCTACTACTTGAGAAACTACTTCAGATCCAAGCATATTTTGTAATTTACCGTTAGCTTTGACAACACGCAAAATCTCATATTACACTGGAGCCTGGGCGAATTGTAGACTTATTTAATACGAAGCTAGTCCCACGTACTGCCTGATCTCCGGTCAAGAGATGTTAAGTTGGGCACCCTTTTACTGGCTGCCGTCTGGACGGCTAAACATAAAGGTGTCTAATCAGTGGTTCGGTAGAATCACCTAAAGGCAGAGCTTCTCCGTAGCCAACTGCCTTAGTCAATACCTAGCCCAGTCCCACAGGGCTTTTATTTCATCGCCTAGCCAACCTCACGCGCTTTTTAGTCTAATTCTCCGAGGAGCCCGATGATCTCGCCGAAATCTTTGATGCTAATGTGCGCTTTGCCGTTAGCAAACAAGGAGATCATATCAATCAATGCCACATCCTGAAACTTGTCTCCGAGCTTCAAGTACGCCTTGAGCGTGCGCAAGTCCTTGAGATTAAGCTCCATTTTCTCGTAATCTTCGGAATGTAAGGTAGCCAAGTCCACCTTGGGCCTGAGGACGGATTCCATCTTATTGGTCTCCGTTACGACGGTATCTATAACCATTTTCCAGTTCGTATAGATGTATTCCTTGTGGTTCCGCATCTTGAGCAAGCGGGTGGTTTGCGCGATAAGCTTGTCCATATCGACGATTCTCGTATCGGGGATAATGAAGTTCTCCACAGTCTCGCGGGCTTTCACAAAAGCGTTGGTTTCGGCGGTTTCCGACGTCACCACGCTGGAACCGGTAGTTTTTACGTAGTGGTTGTACGCCTCAAAGTCCCTCAAGATGTCCTCGATGAAGCGCGGTGGGATATGGAGTTCCCCTAAAAACGCTGGTAACTGTTCAATGGTGAGATCTAGCTGTAATGCCTCGTCTTCCAAGTCTTCCCCATCCACCGCGGCCGTGTACTGGGCATATATCTCGATGATCTCTGACTCGATGTCATCGGTGGGTTCGGAAAACTTGGTGGTCTTATCCACTAGTTTTTGCTTCGCCTTCCTAGACTGTGACGTTAGTATATATCAATCACTACCTAGGACAATACTCACCATGTTACTGCTTATTGAATGGGATTTGTTGGCCTTGACCCCGCAGGAGTGATGCCCAAAGATAAGCAATTTGTCTCCCGCGGATGCATCAGATGGCTCACGCATGCATTACTTTGAGAAAAAAAAAAACCAAGAAAAAACTTTTGAGGATCGTGTATGTCTCGCATATCCGCTTTCTATCATCTTGTTAGTCCACTTTTTCCCCGTTTCCATCACACAATGCCCGAACTTAGAGCCATCACCACCGAATTAAAGTCTGCCTTGCAGCAATACCCAAACTTCCCATCTGAAGGGATTCTTTTCGAAGACTTCTTGCCAATCTTCAGAAACCCGGACTTGTTCAACAAGTTGGTCCAGGCCTTCAAGATCCATATCGAGGGTACCTTCCCAAATACCAAGGTTGACTACATCGTTGGATTGGAATCCAGAGGTTTCCTCTTTGGCCCAACCTTGGCCTTGGCCCTCAACGCCGGGTTCGTGCCGGTCAGAAAGCCAGGTAAGTTGCCAGGTAAGACCTTCGAGGCCTCCTTCACCAAGGAGTACGGTGAGGACAAGTTCCAGATCCAGGCCGACTCTATCCCAGCCGGTGCCAACGTCATCATCGTCGACGACATATTGGCCACCGGTGGTTCCGCCAAGGCTGCCATCCAGTTAGTCGAGCAGTTGAAAGGTAACATCTTGGAGATCAACTTTGTTTTGGAGTTGGACTTTTTGAAGGGCAGAGAAAAGTTGGGCTACGAGGTTTTCACCTTGTTGTCTGGCCAGGCCGAGAAGTTGAACTAAGCAGGTCTCTGAATGAATTATAACTTGAACCTAGTGTAGAAATAGGTATGTGCGGTTTGACTTTGTACTGAGCCTTCGATACGGGCATGTGTTGTAATCGTAGATCTAGGGAAGAGCACATAGTTTTACAAATAGGCGATTTGAGGTCAGTATGGTTTCTGGAAGAGAAAAAAGGGGCATTCTATAGGATTTGAAAAACCAGAAAAGACAAACCATTAGAGTTTGAATTTAAGGTAGGGTTTATGAACTGAGGTCCATTATCGGGGCTGAGCGGAGTATTTGGAGAGAGGAGCGTTTGGAGAGAGAAGTGTCTGGAGAATTGTGACAAAATGTGACTTCTCATTATAAATGAGAAAGTGTCTGCCAGCAGGAGCAAAGGTTCAGAAAGGATTGATTTCATTTACCAGCCTACAGAACTTGTGAGTTAAAGGACAGCTACGACTCAACCCTAGCTGATTCATATGTATTAAAATGGTAATTTAAAAAAAAGATTAGGTCAAATCGTCTTCATCAGCGGCAATCAATTTCTTGATGTTCACCAACAATTGGGTCTTGATCTTATCCAACTTGGAGAACTGGTCGTATTCATACACCTTGTCTGTAAACAACTGGGAGTCGCCCTGCTGGAAAGCTTCCACGATATCCACGGCCAACTTGTACTCTCTGGTGCTCTCAAACGAACCATCATCCGCTAAGAACTTGTTCAACGAGTTCTGAGCACCCACGATGTCTTCCTGGGCCATATTGCACAAAACCACCTTCAAAAAGTAGTCCTTCAAGCTCCACTTCGACAAGTTATTACCCAAAGAGTTCTCAATGATGATTCCGTACATCTTAATCGCCGGCTGGTATTCACCCAGCAACGCCTTAAAGTCGGCACACTTCAAATACGCCTTGTTAGCCAACGCCTGCGCCGAATCGCCGGCAAACCAGTCGCCGGCCTGCTCGTAGGCGTGCGCTGCACGTGCCAAGTCATCCATGGTTTCGTACAACTCCGCCAAATCCATTTCAAAGTTTGCGGCTCTTCTAAACTGGCCCTGGAGGAGGAATACCTGGATGGCTTCCTCGAGGCACTGGATCGCCTTCTCCAGGTCGGCGTTGGATTGCTTAAAGCACTTAAACGCATCGATCAAGCAGTTGGCATTGTCGTTAGCGTTTTCAGCTTTTTTTTGGCATGCCGCAGCCTTGACAAAAGCGTCGCCCGCCTTTGAGTAGTTCTTTTGCACCTTGTACATGTTGGCGGCCTGCGTGTACAAGTCGGTGGCCTCTTCGTATCTCTCCAAGCTGCTGGAGCCAAAAAACGAGGATAAAAAGCCTCCAGAGGTGACCGAAGCTTTCTTATCGGCGTCTCTGATTAATTCCTGTGGATCCATGGTGTATAGTTTGGGAATGTAGAGCGGGGAGGTGTTCTTATCGGGGTTAAAATGTATGAGCATTCATTTCTGGTGTGGGAGGCAGAGCACGTGATGGTGAAAAGCACGTGATGTTAATGTTGGTCCAGAGACTGGCATATTGACTGTATGGGAATTTTAAAACAGACACTGGAGTTACCACAAGGTATGGCTACTACCGCCTAGCGGATGTATTTTCAACGTTATATGGTAGACCCACAAGACAAAATTTTACTCGAATTTTAATTTCTCCTTGTAATAGACTATGGAACTTAAGTTCAAAAGGTTGGCTGGTACGGTTTGCTTCTAAGTATGAAAGCGACCTTGTGGTTTATGGGCTTGAGATTACAAACGTAGGCTGCTCTAACAATAGGCAAATAAATTTTTGAAAGGTACCGCCTTCAAGTTGGCAATATTGATGTAATAATCGCAGATTAATAGCTCAAGCCCAGTGCCCATAGATGCGGCTATAACATTATTTTACCACGTGGAAATCACGTGAGAGCTTAGTGCGGCTTGCAAACAGAGAAAACATAAAGTAAACAAAAGATCGCAACAAAGCATCCTATACACATAAATAATTCAATTTAGTTGGAGTATACCTTGATTCACGCCACAGAAGAAATGCCCGAGCAGACAAACTCCCCTCAAAATACTCTGCCGGTGGACGGTGTGAACACTGTGGTGCCCAGTACCCCCGAGGCACCTCTCGACGCGAATATCAGCCTTGACACACCGGCCAGCCAACTCATCACAAACCTGACCCCGCAAAAACTTGCCTCTCCCGTGCCGCCTGTGAGTGCACACGAAAGGATCCGGTTCCCAAGGCTCCAGCAGTTGTGCCAGAAGGCTCTAGAGGAGTCAATAAAGTCTTTGACTATCGAAAAGTTTTCGCAGTGCTACCCCACGTTGGCCTCTACCGTTGAGGGCATGAATTTGTTGAAAGTCGCACGCGAGCAGGTGACAAACTACTGGTTCAACAACTCGATGAGAGAGTTTAATTTGATCTTTCAGGAGCGCGGCGTCGAAGGCAGTTTGGACAGCCTCGATGAGTTGGTTGCCGAGGCGAGGTTGCGCAAACAGACGTACGAAGAAGAACACGCCAGGTTAAACCCCAAATTCAGAGGCAAGAAGAAGCAAGCCCCCATGCTGCAAGTCACACCGAGTGTGAACGGATCTGAGTTGCCTGTGTTCACCGATGAGTTGACCCCGGAAGAGATCCTTGCGTCTAACTTGTACGCCACCAAGAAGCGGAAGTTTGAGGAGTTGCAGGCTATTCGTGATAATCTAGCGGGCGATAACGAAATGCTATTGAAAGAGCTACAGGGGTTATCGGATGCCAGCAGCGGGACCTACAAAGATATTAACAACACCGTTAACGATGTGATGCTAAAGTTTGGCTACAGCGCCGATGCCGACGACGTTGATAGGCGTATCCTCCGTGGAATTGACGAACAATTAGGTGAGTTGATCGACTATACCATGTGAGAGATCAACCTGAGGAGTAATCATTACCCGGGAATCAGCCTTTGATAGTCAGCAAACCAGTCTCATTGTACGTCTAAAGCGCTCTACTTATCCATTACTGCTTTTGAGTTTCAGTTGCATGCCACGAGTCATTTCCTGGTAAATACTTCGGGCTTGTCTGGGGGCTCATTTCTATTCCGCTCAGTTGGTTTACTTTGAAAGATCTGTGATTTATTCGTGATAGCGTATTATAAAGGATGCCTACTGGGATTTTTGTGATGCTGACCGGACTAAGTTAACAATCCAGACTACTCTTGGCTCATATCGCTGCATGTTTACGACGCGGTATAGCTTTCTTAGTGCCACTATCCTCACTAGTGACCATAAATATCCCACTATGCTAAGGCCCCCTGGAACTGCTAGCTGTTTATGGTCATACGTTAGTCGAACTTTTATTAAAATTGCCGGAGTAGTGGTCTCTAAGTCTTCACGATTTACACTAGTTCTGTTTGGATGTAAAAATACAAAACATGCATACACGAGAGAGAGCGAGCTTAATTATTTCTATGGCCAGTGCTTTCTTAGATTTATACGAGATTAGTGTACGCACATCCGTATGAAACTAGAAAGCAAGGCGTCGTAAAACTTTTGAGAGTGCAGCACCCTTGTATGATTCTGTACGTGGCTCAAACTTAACTCCATCTCAGTTTTCAACAAGTAGTGGCTCCCAGTTAGGCGGCATTTGGGGCATCTTGATAGACAACTGGAAAATACAACCTGCGAATTAAGGTTTGGATGGCGAAATAGCCTGCACAGTAGATCGGATATCTCGGGATGGCCTTCCGGGACTAGCCATGACGTAAGGTTTGAAATTGGCCCCTTGCTACGTTTTTCCGATTCCAATATCTTGGCACCATTGAGTACAGTGACAGGATGCTTCTAATATAGTACAGTTTCATTGAATCATATGTTTTCAAGATTTAATGCCACACCCATATTATCTCTTTTGCAAAAGTCTCGGTAGTACAGCAGTAGCACGAGGTGAGGCTTTAGCCAACTAGAGCTCCTGTTGCGTTAGTCTGCGCGACAACCCCATCTACAGGGTACTCTGGAACTGCAGATCAACTCGAAATATGGCTTATAGCACACTCTTTTTTCATAGCTCTCACATGGGATTCGGTCTATTTAGAGCAAAACAGGGAGTTCTTATCAGATAGAATTGCCCTATATTAGACTATGACAGATGGCTAGGGCACGTCTAATTTCTCTACCAGACGATGCCTGGCAGTTTAATCGACTCCTTTTGGGTGCGTGTGACGTAGTACGGACTTGCGGCATGGAAATCAAAGATGGCATTGTTTAGGGGGCAGTTTCCGCATATAACGCGGCGCTTCCTATAGCCCCGCGCCTGCACCCAGAGCACCAAATGTAAGGAAGACAAGAGAATCTGGGCCACAGAGACTCCCAAACTTTAATTCGCGTAGCCAATATGGGGCGGGCTCTGGATAACACGGGCGTCAAATTATTGACGTTACATCCAGACATAGCACTTCAGACATCTAGGCCTTCCATCCAATCCTAGAGGGTTATCCAAAAACCTATCCGTAGCTTATACAAGAAAGAGGAATTCCAGAACCCGTTTCTCATTTCCAGAAGGGTAGTGCTTCGCGCGCCAAGCCTGCGTTGGCTTCTGGTTCTTAGCCATGCGCCTGCAGACAGGGGTGCAATTCCTGTTCGGTAGTACCTGTAATTCATGAAAAGTTTTCCTGTACACGTCCACAACATATATAGTCAGACATCCCCAGCTTTAACTTTGTGGAAATTACAACCTCAAACCGTACAAGTGGTATAGGACGAAACGAAGCCCCACCGTAATCAGCTCCGGAGTAACCAGCTGCTCAGAAATCTATACATCCACATATCTGCTCTTACATTTGCCCATCCCCGGACATCCTTCGTATATCCGTCCACCCTATCCACTTATAGCTGATCGCCCAGACTATCTAATCTTACCACCCCAGACCTATTTATGAACACACCACTCATTCCCAACTTGGGGTCGCCCACAGAGTCATTCCTGGCGGCTAGCGCGCCTAACCCGCGCGTCGTGCATCTCGTGGACGTAATGCTTGCAGCGCTCCCCGCGCCGGATCCTGCAACTTACAACACAGAAGATGTAACAGCTGCGCTCGTGGATGAAATTCACCCCCATATCACAGAGCTCCGTGCTTTGCTCCGCGAGAAGGTCGTTCTCAACTCTATAGACGAGCCGACCGCTCGAAAACTATTCGACATAACCTCGCACCACCACGAGTACTTCCGCATTCACTACCCCACCTTGACCCCAGTGTTCACTTCAGACGTGCAGGACGCGTTTGTGAAGGACATGTCGGCGCTCGACGCGTGCCTTGCCAACCTTTTGCTCGTAAATCGCCGTATCCACAACCTCAAGCACTTTGAGGGAAAGCATCTCTTGTACATCACCGAAACCGTCAGGCTCTTTCACCACTTGGCTTTCCGCACGTTCCACAAGTACGCAAACCAGGCGCCTGTGGATGAATTCACGTTCCGCGACTTGATTCCGGCACTCCGCATCATGTTTCTCTCCTTGTTTTCTTGGAGGGACGTCTACGCAGAGTCCGCACTCGCCTACTGCAGCGCTACGTTGAACCAGCTCCTTTTACACGACTTGAAGTTTCTCATCCGGGAGTGTCCCAGAGAGGGCTCGTTCTCTCCGTCAGGTGCCTCCAAGCTCTCTAACAACATGGAGTTCCACTTGTGCTTTCTCGAGCTTCTTAAGACCTCCTACTCGTTTATCCACAACTACACAGACGTCGGGGCCAAGCTTGCGCGTTCGGCTTCTCGTTTGAACAGCCAGTTCGGGCCCATGGCCACGCCGCCGTCCCTCCAGGGCACCGCCTACAGCCACCCCTTAATGTTTTTGAACCTCCGCCTCCTTACGCGTTTTCTTTCAAAGATTCCGCACGTCACCGAATTCGCAGATAACCCCGTATTCCAGGAACAGTTGTATCAGAAGGTGAAGAATATAGGCAACATTATTTTGACGTTTGATGTTGCGGCGTATCCCTCGTTTGACTTGAAGAGCCCCTCGGACGTGGCCGCGACCGGCGACGTCGCCACCACCGACCAGGTCTTCAATCGCATTGTCCAAACCGTCTTGAACTACTTCGAGTACGCCGTGACGAAGGCTGTGAACTCGCTCGAGTGGGGCGCGCTGAAGGCCAGTCACCGCGCTGACGATGACTGTGAGGATCTTGTTTCGCTCCTAGGCTTGCTAGACCACGTGATTGACGCCGCGGAGTACCAATGGAGCACTGAGGCCGCGCGCTGGGGCTTCCAAAACATTTTAGATGCGTTTATCCCCCTGGAAGTTGTCGCCAGCGGCTCCTTGTTCTCCAAGATCCACTCCCTCATTACCCAGACTCCACGACGCACCTCGGGGGGCAGCGTTGATCCCCATGATGACGCCACTTCGTCTTCCAACTATGCCACCGTCAACAATAGCGTCCGAAACGCCATTCTCGACGTCTTTTATAAGTTGACCATCGCTCACGCCGAACAAAGGCCCGAAAAATTCAACGTGGAGGATGCGAAGCTCCAATTCCTCAACTGCACGGGTTATTTGGCGGCGTCTGGCTATATGTTCAGCAAACACATCACCGTTCCGTTGAACCCCCCGTTGTATTCCATTTACATCGAAGGTGTGGCTTCCGCCGAAGAGCTAGACGTTCGTCGACCTTCAGTCATAGAAAGCGTCACCGATTCGGTGGTCTCGGCTTCCTCGTGCGACTCAGCGCTCAGCTACGGTTCCCTCCTCAGCGATACCGAAGGTGCCCGGAGCACCTTCACGCAGATCAACTACTCGTCCAATTACACCAGCTCGTCAATTGACGCCGCCTCCGGTTTGACCCGCACGGCCAGCCAGGCCAGCACCGCCACCGCCATCTTGTCACTCGGCACGCGGCGTACTATTAGCCCTGGACCTTCACTCAAGTCGAATACGCGTCTGACGAAGCGTATGGAGCGGCGCAATTCCTCGGCGCTCTTAGGCGAAATGACAGAAGCAGAGAAGGAGGAGGAGGCCCAGAGGTTGATGGAGGTGTTTGAGAGGCTTGATCGTTTAGGTGTCATCAAGCCAGTTTCCAAGAAGGGATAGTGAGAATGACTGTATGTTTACATTGTTGGAGGAATTTCCGTGTAGTTAGCATGAATAATGTGTTTAGGACAAACGTTCGTAGATGAAAAGCGGTAATGGTGACGTCGGTAGCCAAAATTGTCATATATAGCCAAATAGTCTTTTATTAAATACAGCGTGCAGATGGTATAGCTAGACTCTGAGCGAATTGTCAGTTTACTAGAAAAAAAGCATCCCAATCGGTTTAGAGGTTGAATAGACTATGGACACTTCCGTTGAAGGAGAACTAACTCTCGATTGGGGCTGGATTTTGCTTCCAGCTTTCCTGTACGCCTCAGATTCATATGGACCTCGAGAAAATCATGTGTAGCCGCAAGTTGCGGCTTCATGCTCCGCCTATGTACTTGAGTGTTTAGTGCCAGCTCTACGTGCGTTGAATCTCGAGCTGTGCGGCTTTAGGGACCTAGATGGCCTCAGGCATCCTCTGAAAATTCCTGCGGCTAAGTTGAGTTTCAAGCGTAAGCAAGCTGTGGTGCATGCCTTACATCTAGTTTACTGACCATCGAATGGAAAATACCAATGTTGAAAATGATATTCTTGATGTTGGCAAAACCAGAGACCGCAGAAAGCATCCTGAGATATTTAGCCAGCAAGGGAATAGAAGCGATGACGAGGTATTAGCCGGTGCAGTTTGTGCTTTCATTGTTTCCTTGGGAACAACGGCCACAACTTCGACGAGCCATACTAGCTACGACGGAACTGTAAATCCGTTGTAAAGGTCTTTTGGGACCTTTGTTCACCTGCTCGTATATGAAGTTATACACATTAATCAGGAATAACGGATGAAGATATCCGGGGAGTAAAGTTTACCTTTACCACTAACAGCGCAAAAATATCGATGTGTGTAAATACTGTTATACATAGAGTGGAATTCAAAATAATTCATAATTTGACCATGTGGCCAATCTGTGTCCAATATGGGACAAAAACTTTTCATTGCACATCTATCTGGCTACCAGGTATATCTTTCTACCCAGACCTATAAATTTATGGTGATATATGAATAGAGAGTGGCGTAAGGTGTCGGGAATATAGAAATCGTAAATCATAATGTAGAGAGTAAGTCGAGAGTAAATCATAGCTGCGTGAGAAGAAGAAAAAAAGGGATGGCATTAAGAGGTTGGGATGCAGGGGAGGGGCTAAAACGGATTTAAGGACCCCCAGCCCAAACTGTCGATCCCTTCATTGCTCATGGGATTGTCGTATTTGGGTTCTTTGTCCATGAAGGAGAGGATCAAGTTATTAGATTTTCTCGTATCGTCGAGGGATAAGCTGGAGCGCTGGAAGGCCACGTCGCTGGATCCGGGGGAGTCCAACATCCAGTCGTCGCTGGCTAAAGAGGTGAAGTCAATTGAGGTAAATGCGTTGCCGGATTTGGCCAGCTTTCCAGCTTTGGCCGGGAAGTAAGGCTCATCAAACGGCGAGGGAGAGGTGATATTAAAGAAGGAAAAGTCCAAGTCATCTCCCGTCAGCTCAGACAAGTTGGGAATGGCAAGCAAGTCGTTATCGTGAGGCATACTCTTTGCAGGCTTTTTGTACCTTTCATGGCGCGGGAGAAGGAGCAACTCGGGCTCGTCATGAGCGGAAACAGTTGAGTCTATGGTGCTGCTAGGGGTGTCAGCTAATGAAGGCAACTCGTCATCAACCGAGATCGGCGACTCACCAATAGTATCATCTTCCTCTTCGTTGTCCGAGAGATTGAGATATTCACGAAGCGACTCCTCAATGGTGGCAGGGAACGGAGACGTTACAGGCGCCACCAACGGCCCAGCATTGGAGTGGCGGATCTTGTCTAATCCTGGGGCCTTGGTCGTTGCCGGGGTGTCTGGGACAAGCGGCGAATCGAGATTGTCGTGGCTTCGCTTACGGCTACCGTATCCCGGACGAGACTCCACAGGCTGGACTTCAGATTGGGTCAACTCGCTCTTTAGGATGTTGAAATCGCTCACAAGCTTTATCAACTCGTTACGCAACTGGAAGTTCTCCTCATCTACCGTGAGAATCGCCTGGCTGAGCGGATTGTTGCCGATGGAGCCGTTCAAGCCCTGAACTAACGCAGCCGACGCGGAGGCGGAATCGTGTGGCGCAGCTTTCGCGGGCGCTTTGCCCCCGGCACCAGGCACGGGAACAAGGATTGACTTCGGGTTGATTGTCTTCAGCTTAGGATCTACCGTCACAAATGGCACGCTCTTGCGGACGGGAGGTAGCGGGAGAATGGGCTTGCTAGAGGAGCCTGTCGCCGCGTCCGCGGCGGCCGCAACCGCCGCGACGTCTACAGGCAAGGGTCTTGCCGGGCAGTTCTTTTTCTCGGAGGCAACCGGTTTGCGGCCCGGCTTAGGCCTAGGCGGCAAGACCCATTTCTTGGAGGTTTTTACGACAAAATCGGGAGCTTTAGCAACTGGAAGACCGTGTTGTTGCGGAGGATAGTTCTGGAGGGTTGGCACCACGGCGGGGCGGCCGCTGAGGGCGCTGTGGTTCAAGCCCGCGGCGTTGGATATCACCGAGATGGGCTTCAGGTGTGTGAGAAGTTGTTTCGACGGCGGTCGAGGGGCGGGGGCGTTCCCAGAAACGAGGGGGACGATTGGAACCATTATAACGGGAAAGCCATGCTATTTACAGGGGTTAAAAGGGAATGTGTAAAGAAGGAGCGGAGTATGTCCAAGGCGGTCAGAGAAGGTTCACGGTGAAATAAAACTAGTAAGGAAGGCCTAACGGCGAGAAGAGGTCAACAAGGGCGTGGTGAAAAATCGGAGAGACCTGTATGGAAGTTAAGGTTTCTAAGGAGAGAACCGGGTGTGTACTAACAGAGCTTTGTTGAGAGTATGTTAAGAGTATGTTGAGAATATGATGAGAGTACGTTGTATGGATAAGTTGAGAGTACGTCGGGGAAGTTACAAACAGAAACAGTCTAGAGTATGCTTCACCCCTGCTTAAAATCGAGGGAACGGTGTCTATTAAAGGATTTTCTAACCACGCATGGGTTGTATGAAGCCGAAAAAGTCCACAGGCAAATGTCTCGCATCAGCCGTTATAGCAGCAGCCGCCGGGCTGGCATGCTTCCTGCAGATAGTAACAATTATGTCCATTTGTCCTAGACAATAGGCTATATTGCGCGAGGGTCGGCACGGAAAAGGGGCACCTGCACACCGGCAGTACACGGGAGTGAAAAGTTTTTAGGAGGAGCGTGGCTGAGGTGCAGGAAGAAAGAAGATTATCCTGTGGGCAAGACTTCCCTGCCATAGTATCTGCGATGGCGCATCTTCGTTGAGACAATCGTGTGCCGCGTAGCCGAGGCACTCGCCACGAAATGCGTGGCGCACTCGCCACTCGACTGAAGGAGTTTTTGTACGCCGGATACCCGGGACAAACGGAAGAATTTGTCACCAGGCCCATCGGGGTCCACTCTTCCTCAAAGTTGGAGCTATTAATATTGATAGAATGTGTATACCACCGGAAAATCACAGGGTACCAAAAAAAAAAAAAAAAATATGGAACTTAGTAACGCTTGTGCTCTAACTGGAGTGTGTGTTTCGGGAGACTCTCGTTAACCCAGTGGTACAGCGGTGCATGAGATTGACGCAGCCAAGAAACACCTATCGGTACTGAAAAATTTCCATTATCACCAAAACCGCTAGCCACCTCCACAATCCCGGTACCAGTAGATTGCTGGCTGAGAACGTTGATCTGGACGTATCTGTGGTTGATGTTATCATTATTGAGCGCGGTCGGGATCGCGGCTAGCGGTCGCTATGAGGGAATTAATTTCCTGACGTACATGGGGACTCAGACTCTGGCCACAATACGCAGTCATACGCAAGGCTACGCGTAATTAAACTAAAACCTGGAGAGACCGAGGTGTTTACGTGTAGGTGTGGTTCAGGCTCGCAGCGGTCTTCTTTCAAACCTCAATCAGCAGCCCTACTGGAATACCTAAGAGAATACGCCAATATTCTTGTTTTTTCCCAGGGCATCGCAACGCCGCACTAGCTTTTCGGAGGAGGGAGTTCAGGGACGTATGTCTTTATTACGTGTCCAGTAGAGTTTAATATCCGGTATTCCGGAAGTCTTTCCAGGCTGGCGGCCCCGGCCGTGTCAACAAAGGCTGTAAACTCAACCAGATGAGTCACGCACAAGATGCTACTCAGTGAAAAAGAGGCCATTTCCTCGTGTACTATTAGACTGAGCGGTCCTATTGACGAACAGACAGATAGTGAGTTCCTTCTGAGGCCTTTATTGCTTGTTCAAGCAGGATGGTAATGCCCAAAATAGGGATGCTTACTCTGCAAGACAGTGTGGTAGGTGCAGTTAATTGCGTATGGATCGTCACTGATTTAAAACCAGGGGGACAACCTTGTTATTTTTTTTTACCCCACCAATGGTTTAAATAATTGGAGAATATCTCATTCTGGAATAAACTTCGGGATTTTACAAATAGATATTCTGTATTACCCTGGGGTGAACCCCTCACACCGCTGAGCCAAGGCATTCTGCCGCACATTTTCAGTGAAACTACCTTCTGCTTCCCCCCGGGTTGACTCGGGATCGATTGTGTCGAGGGCTTCCCCCGTGGATCGAGGATCTCAAATTCCACAATCCGGTATTGTTCAATGCAGATGTATGCTCGATTTTCCTTTAAAACGCTCAAAGTTTCTAATGGTTTTCTGAGAGTTGGCCCTGATACACAAAGGGCAAGCCGAATTGAAAAGTACTTCTGCCAAACTGATGAAAAAAGGGTGCAGGAGACCAGAAAATCTGTGCGGGAGCGGAAGGCAATTCCGATATTGTCTCCGCCTGTGAACTTCACCATTGAGGAGTTCCCTGCCATTGCTTGAATAATACACAGAGAAGATTCACTGCAGTTAACCATGGAAGTTAGAGGGATTTATAAATTGGGTCGAAAGGAGGAGAGGTATAAAGCCAAGGCTAATGGCCCAAGACACTGACAATGGCGCAATCCATGTTTAGGAGTAGATCAAGATCGACATATTGATTGTACGAAACACATCAAACATCGGTCCAATATATGCCACCATAACGCATCAATTAAATTCAATAGATAGTGACATCCTCTTACGATAATGCGGCAGGCAGGGTGTTTCCTCTTCTGGCAGCTGTATTGATATGCAAGTATGAGCTTGCATCTTTTCTGAGTCTAGTTGAGGGGCAAACACTTCAAGCAGAACATATACAGCATAATTTGAGTTAACCACCGCTATAGGGGAAATTTTGTGAAATTTACTGCCTGCCAAAATTCCGGGGCTTTCCGGAGCGGAAGGTGGTCTAACCTAGTAACCTCTAAACTATTTACGATACCTCTAGGGTTTATATAATTATGCAGGGGGGTTAAAAACACCCAGGTACCTACCAATCATCTTTATCAGAGAATTAAAATCAGACTTTTACAGACTGGTAAATATCTCCCTGATCTCTTTCTTACCTTCCAACTAGCCATGGTCTGATATCGGCTCATAGAAAAAAATACGGGAGTCCGGAAATTGAACTAGTGTTTCTTTAGAATCAAGGCCATTCAGGCCCCTTCACCCCTAGCGGACACCTGAAAGAGGCCTTGAGTCCAAAATATTATACACAAGGGGATTGCAAAGATTAGATAATAAAATTAGTAATACATAATCGGAGCCCATACTTAGAAATCCTGTTCTGGGGCTGTGGCATTTTCTGGTGTGCCTTCTGGCTCCCGTCACACGTGATATAGCACATCTCAACCAGAACTTGACAAGCCACATCTAGCTATCAATGGCTATGAAATTGCTAATTTTCCGTTAAATTATATATCATGGAGAACAAAATTCTAATATTAACCAGCCTATCATTCCTGAAGCCGTCCCAGGCTACGCCTCCTGCACGCACAATCCTTGGGTAACCCGCGTCCCTCCTGGCTTGACGGATCCCCAGTTGTCAATACCACAACCCCGATGTTGTGGACGGCCTCGAATTACGCATAATTTACAGTCATTTTGAGCCGTTCTAGACACCGGCATATACATCTTGCATATCACGTCTGGAAGGCCACCCAGGGCCCTTGGGCTCCTCTGCCCTCACCAGGTCCCACGCCTCTACTATCCAATTACACTTTGTCCGAGAGATATATATACATCCGAGCCTATCTTCTGTCATGTTTCCGATCCTGGCCCTTTTGGTTCTGGAAAAAACATAACAAATCCTTGTGCCCAAAAGGGAACCCAACGCACGTGACCACAGCGAAAAACTGGAACCGGCGTGGAACCCAGAATCCGTCACGTTCAACTCATCGAGCGTTATCAGAGGAACTAGTAGGGGCCAGTCATTTATCAATTAAACCGTCAATCAGCAGTTAATCCATTCTCTAATATGCCGCGCAGAGTAGTCAGCGATGATAGCCATGATGAGAGCCAGCCGCGCCGTGGCCGGGCGAAATCCCAGGCCGACTCTGACGACTCTGAAACCCCGAGACGCAAGAGAACCCGCGTCAACTACAGCGAAAACTTCAAAGACAGCGATGAGGATATCAATGAGGAAGATGAAGCCGCAGAGGAACCGGCATTCGGTGAGGAACCCACGGCGGCAGCTACGGAGAGGACCCCTGCCAGATCCCGTTCTCGCCGCAAGCTCGAATCCGAAGACGACTACAGCGCCGCCTCAGCCTCAGCCTCTGAGATCTCCCAGGAGAGCGAATACGAATACGACAGCGACAAGGAGCGTGAGCGCCAGAAGCGACTCGCGGACCGCGCGTTCGTGACCAGGGATGGCGACGATGACGACGACTACGACTACACCGGGGCAAAGAAGTCACGCCGCAGCCGGAAGAAGCGCTTGCCGCGTGTCCGGACGACGCGCCGGGCGACACGAATCTCGGATGACTCCGATATCGACGACGACACGCTCCAGGATGAGCTTCAGGAGTTGAAGAGTACACCGCCGCCGCTGCCGACAGCGGCATCGCCGCAACGGGCGCTCCGCGAGCGTCGTCAGCGCATTAACTACGAGCTCCCGCCACCAATCACATCAGAGGCACAGCTCGCGTCCCTTGGTGACTCGCCAGGTCCCACCCCTCGCCTCGTTTCGACAACATCTCGCCGTAAGCCCGCGCCGCACCGCAAGCTTCTCTTTGCGACCAGTGGTCCCTTTGGCGGTAGCGATGTGATTCCTCTTTTCGGTAAGAACTCGCTTGCGGTGGGCAACCTTCATGATTCCGATTCCTCCGATGATGAGATCAAGCCGGTGGACGCCAACCTCTCCACAAACAACAACCTCACGCTCCAGACAAAGTCCCAGGCGGAAACCGCCGCTGCAGCGGCGAAAAATAAGAACCTCAGCGATACGGACCCCCTTGGCATCGACATGGATATCGATTTCACCGCTGTTGGTGGCCTCGACGACTATATCAGCCAACTCAAAGAAATGGTTCTATTACCGCTTTTGTACCCCGAAGTATACCAGCGCTTTGGAATCACTCCACCGCGGGGCGTGCTCTTCCACGGACCTCCCGGAACCGGAAAAACGCTCATGGCACGGGCTCTAGCGGCCTCCTGTTCTACCGGCCAGCAGAAGATTACATTCTTCATGCGGAAAGGTGCAGACTGCTTGTCCAAATGGGTAGGTGAAGCGGAACGACAGTTACGATTACTCTTTGAAGAGGCGAAGAAGCAGCAGCCGGCGATTATTTTCTTCGATGAAATCGATGGCTTGGCTCCCGTCAGATCGTCCAAGCAGGAACAGATCCACGCTTCGATAGTGTCGACGTTGTTGGCGTTGATGGATGGAATGGACAATAGGGGCCAAGTGATTGTCATTGGTGCGACGAACCGCCCCGACGCGGTAGATTCCGCGTTGCGGCGTCCAGGGCGATTCGATCGCGAGTTCTTCTTTCCACTCCCGGATGTGCACGCGCGGGCGAAGATTCTCACGATCCAGACGAAAAAGTGGCAGCCGCAGCTAGACGACGCGTTTGTAGCGCGCCTCGCCGCTCTCACCAAAGGCTACGGTGGTGCAGACCTCCGCGCGCTCTGCACCGAGGCCGCCCTCAACAGTATCCAGAGAAAATACCCGCAAATATACGCCTCTTCGGATAAGCTCAAGATCAAGCCGGAAAAGATCTCTGTCATCGCCAAGGACTTTTTCAAGGCGTTGGAAAAGATTGTGCCGTCGTCTGCACGCTCCGCCGCAAGCGGCCTGGCGCCGGTGCCAGACCACTTGGAGCCGCTTCTCGCACGGCCCTTGCGCGAGATTGCCGCGCGCGTCGAGGTGCTTTTGCCGCAAACAAAGAAGATGTCTGTGCTCGAGGAGGCGATGTATATCGACCCGATCAGCCACGAGCAGGATGGCGGCTTCGCGAAGCAGCAGATTCTTGCAAAGTTGGAAAGCTCGCGAATCTGTCGCCCAAGATTACTCGTCGCGGGCGAGCCTGGCAGCGGTCAACAGTACCTCGGGGCGGCAATCCTTAACCACCTTGAGGGGTTTCACGTTCAGTCACTAGACTTGGGAAGTTTGTTCAGTGACAGCACCAGGTCACTCGAAAAGACGGTGATCGACGTGTTCATAGAGGCGAGAAGACACCAGCCATCGGTGCTTTTCATTCCGAACCTCGATATCTGGACGAGCATTGTCCCCCCAGCGGCGATTGCCACGCTCATGGGCTTGCTCAGATCTTTGAAGGCGTTTGAAAAGGTGGTGTTGTTGGGGTTGTCGGAGTTGTCCGAGACAGACTTGGGGCCTGAGGTGAGAGAGTTGTTCGGATACACAGCCGCCAACCATTACAACTTGGGTACTCCCAGCGAAAGTGAGAGGGAGAAGTTTTTTGCAGCGTTGGTCAAGGTGGTGAAAATGAAGCCTTATGAGTTTAATGACGTTGAGGCAAGGCCACGGCGAAAGCTCAAGACGCTTCGCGTCGTGCGTGTCGCCCCTGCTGCGGCTGCAGCGACGTCCAAGGCCGCGGCGAGAGAGCAGGCAAGAAAGGATATGAAACTCAAGAACACGTTAAAGATCAAGCTCTCGGGCTTGATGGAGCTCTTTAAGACTCGCTACAAGCGCTTTAAGAAGCCGTTTGTGGATGACAGCTTGTTGCTCCACTTGTTCACCCCAGAGTTGCTCCAGCACCCAGGCTACGTCGTACACTACGAGCGCCGCGGTGAAACGGTGTACGAGCTTGCCACGGGGAAGACTTATTACAACATGGACTTGGAGATTATCGAGGAGCGCTTGTGGAACGGGTTTTATTCCGAGCCGAAGCAGTTTTTGAAGGACGTTGAGTTGATCTATAGAGATGCACAGGCGTCCGGCGACCGCGAAAGGATTCTTCGGGCGAGTGAGATGTTTGCGAACGCGCAGGTGGGGGTTGAGGAGATTAGCGTACCGGAGTTGATTGAGGAGTGTCGGGCGATGATGAACAGAGAAGCAGAAGCTGAGGCAAAGGCGGAAGCCGAGGCAAAGGCGCAAGCCGCAACCGAGATAGAAGTCAGGGCGAATGGCCAGGCAGAGATTAGGATGAATGGCCAGGCAGAGGCTAACGGGTTGGATGCGCAAGCACCAGTGGTGACGGGGCTGGACTTTGCCTCACCGAATGGTACTGTTTTAGCTGAGGCGGATGGGTCAGTATCTGTGATGTCAGGTGCTGAGACAATTGTTCAAGAAGACGTGGAGATGCAGGAGCCTGACGTTATTTCCGAGCCTCTGGAAAAGCCTGTGACTGAGTCTGTGACTATGTCTGTTACCGAGCCTGTGACTGAGCCTGCAGCAAAGCCTGTGACTGAGTCTGTAACTGAGTCTTCAGCAGAGCCTGCGACCGAGCCTGTGGCGGAGTCCGACTCTGACAGTTCCTCGGACGAAGAGTACTCCGTTCCCCAAGAGCTCGTGGAGCGCAACCTCCTGCTTGATGAACAGGCATTAGACCACCTCAAGGCCGCGCTTGTGGCTAAAACTGAGGGCTACACCATAGAGAAGTTGGAGTATCTCAACGCCAAACTCACTGACATTGTCTGGCAGAACCGCCAGAGTTGGGAGAGAGACTCTGTGGTGAGTAAGATGAGTGCAGAGTTGTAGAGCCATTGTAATATACCACGAAATATTGAGTGAAAAGTTAGTGTAGAGTAGATATTAAGACCAGGGGAGGGAAGCACATGTATGATCGTAAACGAACATGAGTACGCCTGTAAAAATTCGTATCCCAACATGTAACAATTGAATCACATTTCAGGTCAAGTTCCTTCTCCGTGCACACTCATCACACTTGAATCATTACATTAGCGATCTATCAACTATAAGCATTTGTTGAAATAGGTATATATACAAAGACATCCAGCCAGACTTGATCTTGCTAGCGTTGACTTTCGCTGCTGGTAAATTCCTTCTCTAACAATCGCAAGTTTTTAAACAAAACCGCCTGCTCCGCCTCATTCACATCCCCCGAACATGCCCATCTGATCTTACCCTCCCAGTCAATCACATAGAGATACCCCGCATACAAGTTCCTCAACTTGGTTGCCTCTTTCATTAGGCCCAAGTCCACATTGAACTGGTCACGCGTACTCATCACGTACAACCCGTGTCGCTTCGAGTTCGTGAGCGCACGTAAGCTGCCACGCGCGAACCGCGTGAACAATCCCTTGATGCCGTTCTCCGCGAGATTCAAGTCAAGTATCTGGGAGTGGGGAAAACGTGCCTGGAACGCCTCGTAGTCCTTATTCAAGTAATCAAGCCCGTCTGCCTTCAACCACGCGGCACTGGACTCATCTGCGATCCGTGGAGTAAATACCCTCATCACATTGATTTTGCCCGCCCACAACGCCTGGAGATCCACCTGCTGTCCCAACAAGTTCTCACCCCTAACAGACGGAAAGTACAAGGCCTTATCGCCACGGAATAATCCGGGTGGGGGGCCGAAAATGCGCCCTTTCGTCTGTCTGAAGATGCCCATCTCGTAGAATCCGCTCTCAGAGTATGTCTTTGCCAATTCCACACGCTTCTCTTCCTTGCGCGACTTGTCGAAGAACTCGTATTTGAAGCTCTGGAAGTTTTGGACCTTGTGCTTCGAGTTCTGGTTTTGGTAGTAGTCCGTCAAGTTGAGTGGCTGCGGAATTCCAAACGGCTTCGACAATGTCTCCATCACAAACGGCTTAGGCTGAATGTCCTTGAAGTTTCTCGTGAGTCTTGAGAGCCCCGACGCGTAGTTTCTCTTCAAAAGCGTGGTCATTTCAATTGGCTGGGACGTATTAGAGTAGAAGGCTCTATATGGTGGGTGGTTTGATATGTAGCTGAAATTTTGGTGGTTCATGCACGTGCCGAAAGAGCACCTGTGAGCCTGGCTATGGGAAGGAGGGTCTTTGGATACTGAGAGGATGATATTGAGCGATAGGTACCAATATTATGTATTTACTATTAATATGATATATAAGAACTGTATGAAAACAAATTCTAGATATACTCCACACTTAGAGCTATGCTGATGCAAAGGTACTTTCATTCAGGAGCTACAGATTTCAAAATGCGATTTGGGAATGGATAGTGAGAACTAGGCGGGCTATATATTGTTCAATAGCCTACATTTGGTATAACCATATTTATTCGGAGCTCAGATCTCATTACTTTTTTTTTTCACTCAAAGGTATGCCATTGGATTTCGTTCGCAAACCAAATAGCCCAGTTAAAAAACTGTCCGAGAAACCCTGTTAAGTCAGGCAAAGCTCCTCATTTTAATCAAATTGGTTTGTCGAGGACCTACAATCTTGATTCATCAACATATGTCATTTATTAGTCATAAAGCACTGCGTGCGGAGGTACGGGCTTACTTCTTGACAACCGCGTTGACAGCCTCGGCAACGTACTTGACGTTACGGTTGCTGATACCGGCCAAGGAAAATCTCCCATCGTCGGTACCGTAGATGGAGAAGTCAGATCTCAACTTCAACATCTCGTCCTTGCTCAACCCGGTGTAGGAGAACATACCCTTTTGTCTCTTCAAGTGGTCCCAGTTACGCAAGCTGTGGTCCAAGTTGTCGTACAAACCAGAACGGACTTCGTTCAATCTGTTGGTGATCTTGGCAACGTCGCCCAACCAAGACTTGTACAACTTTTCGTCGTTCAAGATAACCTCGACAATCTTGGAGCCGTGGCATGGTGGGGAGGAGTACATTGGTCTGACCAAGGCCTTCAACTGGGAGGTGATCTTGGAGATGAACTCTGGAGATTCATGAACCAAGAAGACGGAGCCGGTACGTTCACCGTACAAACCCATGTTCTTCGCGAAGGACTGACACAACGCGAAAGATGGCAACTTTTCTGGGTTTTCGTAGTGCATCTTGGTCATCTTGTGGATGACAATGCCCAAGTCCTTGATTGGGTCACCGGTAGCGAAGCCCTGGTAGGCCATGTCGACAATTGGGAACAACTCTCTCTTGGTAATCACCTCCAAGATCTGGTCCCACTGTTCGGAGGTGGCGTCCAAACCGGTTGGGTTGTGGCAAGAAGAGTGCAACAAGATGAGGGCACCCTTCTCGGCCTTGTTCAAAGTGGCCAACAAGTTCTCAATGTCCAAGGAGTTGGTGTCCAAATCGTAGTATGGGTAAGCGGCTGGCTCGACGCCGGCGTCACGGAAGACGTTCAAGTGGTTTGGCCAGGTTGGCGCAGACATGTAGCACTTCTTGACGCTGTAGAACTTGTTCAAGAGCTCGGCAATGACTCTCAAAGAACCGGTACCGGAGATGGTTTGAGCAGAGACGATTCTCTTTTCCGCAATCAACTTCTTACCGAACTCATCGTGGCCGAAAATAAACTTCTGCACGGCCGAGTTGTATGGACCAGAGCCCAAGATTGGAACGTACTCCTTGTCTTTTTCCAAGCCCTCAACAACCAACTTGCGCTCAGCCTCCTTGACGGATGGCAAAATCCAAGGCTTACCTTCTTCGTCTCTGTAGGCACCAACACCCAAGTTGACCTTCTTAGGGTTAGGGTCCTTCACGTACAATTCGGAGAGGCCCAAGATCTTGTCTGGAGGGGCCATCTGGACGTCGACCCAGTGGTTGAACTGGCGGACACCAGCAAACATGGTGGATGGGCGGCTAGCGCGGGTGGATAATCTAAGCATTTTACTGTACTTTGTGGGAGACTGGGACAGAGGTTAGGGGGTATAGCGAAACAGATCTATAGAAGGGAGAAGCAATGAGAGCGAGGGGAGAGTCACATGCTTATATATGCTTTTCCGGCGTGAAAAATTCCGAGTGAAATATCCGGTGACCAATATGGCGGGAGATTGCCGCCAGCTACGCGCCTGCAGAATGGGCGTCTCTTGGTGGCATCATATTGCGGAGAGCCATATCGGGGTATTGCCGTCT